CTCCCTTCGCAGGAATCGTTTAATAAAAGTTATTAACAAATTAAGGCTTTGTTTATAATTTTCTAATTAATTATACAACATTTACAGACCAAAGTAGGCTAATTACGTTCCATAAACGATACACATCATTGCTCCCAAAGTCAAATCTCGCTAAATTCATTCATATTTGCAAAAAGTTAAGAACAAATAACGTCAACTAACCTCCCATGCTCGGTACGGTAGTGAGTAACGTCAGGTGACGTATAATACATGTATTAGGTATCATACTGTAGAACGTGGCCTGCGTACGCTAACTATAGTGATTAATTATTATATTTAATTCATTTTATAATTAATAGCGATTGTTATTCAATATTTGCACGCGTTTCATAGGCATTAGTATAAGCTATGAAACGCGTGCAAATATTGAATAACAAACGCTATTAATTATAAAATGAATTAAATATAATAATTAATTGCTTTTCCAAAAACCTTACGTTCAAGATTTTTTCAAAGGCTTAAAGAGAAAACAAACGCGAAATTTCAGAAAAACACGCTATATGTTGTCACGCGAGTCGGTAATCGCGTCGAATATTTGAACGCGCGCGATGCCTGTGTATGGATGTGGGGACGCGCTTCGTCAGCCGAGTTGGCGTGCGTAGCCGGCGACGAAGGAGAGAGAGCGCGGAGGAGAAGAGAGGGAGATAGGAAGTTCGGTCTTGACCGTGCGCGTCTCGCTGTCCGGAGAAAGAAAAAAGAAATCGGTTCCGAGTGCAAAAAGACACCGTACAAATGGCAAAAAAAAGGTGCAGTTAGATTCAGCAACATCAAGTGAGCAGCGACGCAGAGGAAATCCGAGGTGACATCGCGGACCAACAGCGAGAAACCTCTTCTCTCGGCGTGCCTCCGACGCCGAATACGACTACAAGCGCTACCGCCATTACACACTTCAGCACCCAGAAAACTTCCAGGAGAGAACGACGATTCCATCGCCGCTCGGGTAACGTCTGATCAACGTTACCCCGATTTTACGTAAGTCAACGTCAATTGAGCGAGATTATTGTGTGCGAATCGCAGAATATTAGTTCGCGTCCAAAAACTGTCTCTCGTGTGTTTACGCGTGTGTGAGTGAAATGAACATAGCGTAAGACTCTCGGCCAATATTTTCCAGTACGATCTGGACATGTATATTCTTAGTATACTGACAATATACGAAAGTTAGTGAATATACATCCCGAGTGTTTTCGTTAGTAGTTAGAATACCCTTCTCTCCAATGCACGAACTTTTATACTTTTCGTGCCCATAGCTGTCAACGAGAAGGAGCGAGAAAAGTCATCGAGCCACAGCAACGAGGCGGCGGTTAGCCTCGCATCGAAATCAAAAATAACGACGGAAAATGATATTTCCCCCCCGTTACAATGTACTCATTCCACTCTAAACAAGGTTACAATTAATTCAACAAAAATCACCATCTTTAGAAATTTTTTTTTAATTAATACTACGTATTCTATAAATATTTCCCTATGAGAAATTCGATTGCTCCCTAAACATATTTTTCATCTCAAACATATAAGTCAATCGAGTGCTTAGGCTCTTCGCTGGAAAAACATGAATGCCTCGATATCGAAGTTACAGGCTCATTTTCATTAACATTGATCAATAAAATTGACCTACATGTCGGCCAGACCATACTCTTATAAAAATATGATTGCTCCCTCCAAAAAAAATGTATTACAACAATTTTCTGACCATTTTTTCCGTCGCTAGTTAACAGCGTACCAAGGCCCGATATCCGCCAAGACATATATAAACAAAAACAAATTCTTAAACTGTTACGTCTCAATCAAAATATTCTAGTGACTACGATCACGAAATAATTTACGCATTAAATCATAGTGAAATAACATTTGCTCTAAGTGCCAGAAACAAAATACAACGCTGCAACAGAGAACTTGTAAGAACGGAACACCCGAAACTATTCATCGTAGAAAAAGACAATTACATAAACACATACCAACTAGAAAATGATTTAGTAAGCACAAGAAGCACCATAAACCTAGATCTATTTACATATGTCAATTCAAAATTTGTATACGTAGAAAAACATTTAAGGAGTCAATTGAACAAACTATACTTAAATTTAATAACAGAAAGATGCGAAGTTGAAAGGAAGGTAATACAAAATGCCCTATCCATTGCCACCCTCTCCCCTGACGAATTTGCATATGACATCATGAAAAAACCAGGATACATTGCAAGAGTTGCAGGAGAAGCAGTACACTTAATAAAATGTGTACCAAAGACAGTAAAAATAATTAAATTAGAAGAATGCTACAACGAACTCCCAGTAACCTCTGGAAACGAAACGTGGTTCCTGACACCAAAAACACACATCCTCAAAAAGAAAGGGGAACAGATAAACTGCAACGCACTCGTCCCAACATACTACAAACTCGAAGAAGAATGGGTAAGACTCACACCCAAACCTCAACCATGCGTAGCACCAAATACACTCAGACCTAACACAAAAATAGGATGGAATTTCAAAGCAATAAATTCACTAGCAACAAGTGGAGTATACTCTCAAGACGAACTAGACGAACTACAACAACAAATAATGTTCCCTATGGAGAGAACATCAATACTCAACGACATAGCAAGAGAAATAACAGGAGACGCGACAACGAGTGGGAGCATCTTCTCAGAAAATACCATAAAAAACATTGCAGTCAGCACCTGGAATATGATCATAAACAAAATGATCACTTGCGGATCAGTCTCTTCAGTTATAATTATGACATTGATCTTAATAAACACAATGAAATTAATAATAGATACAATAATTAGAGGATATGCACTACACGCAATCTTCGGCTGGTCGCTCCACCTACTCGGAGCCATCTTCAGCTCGATTACACACCTCCTCATCAAACTCGAGAAACCAAGCAAAAACAAAACAGACAATGACAAAAAAGAACATATAGAACTACAAGAAATCAAGATTATCCCCACAATACCCATCTCAACACCTAGATGCATAACACCACCTCCTCTACCAAACAGACCACCTTTTAGCTTCAACAATCAAACCGCTCTTTCAACTACACACAATCATTTGTTTTCACTAGAATTGGACTAATACAGACATGACACTCCTCAAATGTTGCTACATTTTAAGCGGGGAGGGAAGCGAGATGCTCGCTATAAGAAAAAAAAAACAAAAGAAAAATATATTTTTACATTATAATATATATATTTATTACATTATATTTACTACATTATAATATATATATATAAATTACAATTATGTCTACATTTACATTTATATACAATTACAATTGTATCGATGATCTACACTAGGACCTACAACTACATTGTAAAACTTACTAAAAACCTCCACGCACACTCGACGAAAACCATTACAATACACTAATAAATCATAAAAAAATAATTCGCGCAAATTCCAAGTGTCTTCATCCGGACCATACTCCCCCAAGAAAAAGGCCGTCTGCGTCACTCGATCGCAATGCCTCAGAGTACGCACCAACTGCCATCTCTGAAACTAACAAGCAAATAGGAAACAAATTAATTAGACATATCAATATACCAATATACAAACATACATTGTAAAACACTTACATCTATTTTCACATATTTTCGGGTCCCAGGCCTAGGTGCAACCGGTAAAGGCAAGCCCTCCCGTCTGGCCTTTTTTACCGCACGAGAATACTGCCAATCCGCAAACTAGAACAAAGAAATACAATGATAATAATAAAAATGAATAAGAAATCAAATTGTAAAATACTTACGCAAACCATCAAACAGCGTTTTCTAGAAAACCCATACATGTTGAATTCTGATCACAAGCGCAGAGAACACTTTGTAAATTATCGAAGCGACGCAGCCTTTATATACCAAATAATTTGTACACCTTGCAGAAAAATGATCCCACCGACGCAATCAAATTCCAACACTTCCGAAACTCGGAAATGCACATAACGAAATAATCTCTTCACCGAAAACCAACCATTGCAATTAATACATATTTGCAATATCTTATGCCCCGAGGTGTTACGTCTCAAGACGTATCTTTACTCATTTACATTCTTTAAAAGTGCAATCCCGAATTTCGCAAAATTAAAACTATATACACGTCCACCAGAAAACGATACGGCAGCAAAACACAAAGACCCTACTCAGCATTACACAACACACAATGAACTCAAAAAGAAAATTACTCAACTACACAAGAAACATCAGCGATTTATTGAGCACAAATTTATGTATATAAGATGAACCACTCGAGAGGTAATTCAGCAATTATCGTTACTCCGTACACGTCAGTTCGACAATTGACGAATAAAACTCTACATATCGACACTACAGTCGCGTGCAAGCCTGTTCGACAATTTGGCTAACTATTCAACTATTATTTGTCAAACTATATTATTTGATTTCAATAAATACGCGATCCATTAAAAGTGAGAACGTGCAATTACATTATTGAACCCATCCAAATATCAAGATCTACAATACGGAAAGTACTCTAAAAACTGTAAGTATAACAAAATAAATAAATACATTCATTCTTATTCATACATCGTATATTATTCATTACTTGTGAGCCTCAATCAGCCACTAGTACTATATTGGTACGTTTCGCACATTTGCTATTCGTAGTTTATGCACGAGACGTAACAAAACAACGGAGCAATCAATTACTTCAATAGTGTATGACATAATATGTGCGTTGAGTATTCTTCCAAAGGGTCTAGCCGGGTAAGATGGTCAAAAGTGCCCTTGAATGATCCGGGAAACCAATTGAACCCCGATATTCAGCATGGAAAATGGCCAAGATCCCTAAATTTTCAGAACCTAAAACGCATTAGGGACCCCAGAAAGTCCCTATACGTGGTTTTCGGTTTTCCCGCGATATCTCGGTCAATTTTTGACTTAGAGAGACATTTTTTTTTCAATTATAGGGTTTTTTGAGCCCTACAAACTGATCTGGTCCAAAAAAATGTTTCCATTTATGATGGGAGATCATATTTTTCAACAATGCTATAGAATGTATCCTTGGGTGGCGATAGAGCTTATTGAGTTATTGAGACCATTTTTGGAAGATCACTCAAGAGGAATACCACCACATCTTCAAGTGCTTGCAGTTCTTCGCTTCCTTGCTGAAGGTTCCTACCAAAAAGGAGCTTGTTATGATTTATATCATCCGATGAGCCAAATAACTTTTAGCAAATACCTTCACCATGTAGTGCCTGCTATTCTTCGATTATCTAATTTGTTTGTGAAGTTCCCTTCGATAAGAGAAGAACGTGAGATTGTCCAGCAAGGGTATATAAATACTATTTTATATTATTTGTTGATAAAATTTTGCAAATGTCTGAATATTTTATAACTATTACAGGTTCGAAGAGCGCTTGGGATTTCCTGGAGTACTGGGTGCCATAGACTGTACCCTCCCAAAAATTCGTGGTCCTGTGGATCACGAAGAAGCATACTTGAATTACAAGCACGAACATTCTTTTTGTGTGCAAACAGTGAGCATGAGCTTTTTTTGGTAAAACTGATAAGAATAATTGGATATTTTAATCATACAATTTATATTTATTTATCTTTTAGATTTGTGACGTCAATTACAATATTTTAAATATGAGGGTATGTAGTGGATCTACAAATGATAGATTTGTTTGGAAATAAATAATGTATGTACATACGAGGTGTGATCAAAAAGTAAGGTGACTTTATGATTATACAAAAAAATATTTATTTATTTATCAATATTTATATTTTCCCCTTCAAAGTAATCCCCCTCGGATATAATACAAATACAAAAATACACTTATGCCAACACTTCTTCCAATCGTCGAAGCAGTTCTGATAATCACATTTTAATATAAACCTTGAGTTCTTCCAGAGATGCATTCTTTATCTCTTCAATCGTTACAACACACCGTCTTTTCATAGATTTCTTGAGCTTTGGAACAAAGAAAAGTCGCAGGAGACTAAGTTCGATGAATATGGTGACTGAGGCATGATTGTAGTGTTGGATTTGGCCAAAAATTCTCTCACAAGCAACGATAAATGAGCAAGTGCATTATCGTAATGCAAAAGCCATGAATTCTTTTCCCACAATTCCGTAAACATTTACTTCGAATTGCTTCTCGCAAACGGCACATAACTTATAATACTCCTTATTAACTGTACAACCTTGTGGTAAGAACTCCTGATGCACTATACCATGATAATCAAAGAAAACAGTAAGCAACACCTTGACATCTTATCGAACTTGGTGTGCTTTCTTTGATCTTGGTGATCCAGAATACTTTCACTAGGGCGATTGAGCCTTAGTTTCGACGTCATAAGCATGTACCCATGTTTCGTCGCCTGTTATGGCTCTTTTGAGTAAATCTGGGTTGTCGTCGACATTATTCAACAGTTCTTGAGCGATTCTCATGCGACCGTTCTTTTGGTCACAATTTAGCAATTTCGGAACAAACTTCACTGACACACGTCTCTTACCCGAAATATTCGTTAAAATTACTTGGCATGAACCAAACGAGATACCGATATCATCAGCAACTTCTCTAATGGTAATTCGACGATCCTGCAACACAAAGGCGTCGCAAACTCTTCATCGTAATTTTCGTCAGTATTCATCGTCGCTATATAATCAATCGTTTCATCATATTGATTGCTACCCGCAAAGACATCGCTATCAAGTTCATCATTATTATTTTCTATATTGTCACCCATGGAATAATGATCGTCCGCTTCATCATCCAGGGTATACTCGCTCGTGGACGCAGTCGTTTTTTCATTAACATCTAAATTGGCGCAGGTGTCTTCATGACAGTTCGCACATAAATTAGAGCAACGTAATCCATATTCTTTGCAAGTGCATGAGTTATCGACGCAACTCTTTTTGCTACACGAGCATGAAATTTGATTGAGCAATTTAAGTGGAATTGGCGGATCAGTAGTACCAATTGGTTTTAAATGATTATTTTCAATTTGCCAACCCCAGTCGGTAGCTTGTAAATTTTTGTTGCCCAACTAAATTTGTAGCTGATAAAAAACTCGAAAAGCATGCTGTTTCGCGGATCCTTCTGTCGGTGGCAATTGTTCTAACGCGAATTTTGTTTTTTTTAGCTTTACTGTAATGTAAATAACGTAAATCGCTTAATGAAAAATTATTTGTCTTAGCTATAACTATTTTTTCAGCCTTACTGCTATATAATCCAATAATCAATTCATACGCTGCATTTGATATTTTTTCTTGAGTCGCATTCGCGTCGTAAAAATTTGAAGCGAGTTCCGACAGTCGTTCTGGTTTGAATGAATCAAATAATCTATGTTTGCCAAGATTATATAAACAAGAGGTTGTATCGCAACCGCAAAACGCATGCAAAAATCCAACAATTTTTTTACAAATTTTTATATTTAAAACTATTACAGCTATATAACTCAGATGATTTTGAACCTTTCATTTCTCTGGAAAATAGATATTATTCATGTTTTGTGCAAGTTGAGAAAGAATGACTAATAGATCGGTGTCTTCACCTACTATGATAACGTTACTACCTGAATTAAATCGAGCTTCTGTGATTGCAGTATTTACAATTACACTGTCAGCGTCTTCGAAAGCAACTTTAGTTCTAAATCCCGCTTCATTTATAAATATACAAAGCATATTTATAACCTCGTTTTGTTTTTCTCATTGCTCAAAAATGATTTTTGATTAACGAGAATCGTTGTATTCGTGTCAAAAGCTATGTCGCGTCCAATACTTTTTGATTGTCTCCGAGAACGCTCAACTGATTTAGTCGACATAGCTTCATCCTCGGGATAGCAGTCGAAAACAACATAGCTGTTTTGAGTGAAATGCCTTTTGACATATGCAACGTAATTACTTATAATTTTAGATACTTTGAAATTGCAAGGCCATATAACTTTATGAAGTAAAAAATCGCCATCTACTACATGGATAATCGGAGCCTGTTCGTTAGCGAGCACTTGTGAAATTAAAAAATTTGAAAAAAACTCTGATTTTTTGGTTTTCCGCAAACCGTTCTCATCAAATAGTGATAAAGGTATCGGTGCAAGTTCGTATAAGCTTGCGTATTCTTTAATGTCACTTCAAGTTGGTATAGGGGTAGTTATTAGAGGATGCGACGGGCGACACTTGGTCAGCAGATAGTTCTTAATAATATTTACAGAGTAAAAAAGGTTTGGTCCAAAAATATTTTGTTAATAACGAACGCTGTAATAAAAACTTTGAAAATCGATGAAATAGCCGATTACTAATGACTGTAGTTGTGGTTGTTAGGGAATGAGACGGGCGAAACTTGGTCATCACCTAGAAATTAACAATATTTACAAACTAAAAAAAGTTTGGTCCAAAAATATTTTGTTAATAACGAACGCCGTAATTAAAACTTTGAAGATCCATGAAATAGTCGGATTCAAGTTGGTGTAGGGGTAGTTCTTTGGGGATGCGACGGGCGATACTTGGTGTTAATATAAATTTTACCATTATAATGTATAAAAACCACCTTTCCTTAAAAAATTTGTTGTTAATAAAATGTACCGACTGTTATCCCGTGGTAGTCTGTCAAGTAATGGAATCCCTTGAGGGTAGTTCCAAGGGTGATATATGTACTTGTGGCATATTATCTTGATATATATCACTATATTATCCATCAGAAGCCATAAAAAAAATTTTTTTAGCATTTTTATTTTTTTTATTTTTTTGTTATTGAATAATGTTACGAACTTCAAACTCATCCGGCTATTGCCTTATCCCCCGTAAGGTTAAAGTCTAGGGGGTCAATTATTTAATTATTTTGAAATACAGAAATCGATCTCAAGAACGTTACCTAAGTAGCCACCCATATAAATGTAACAAAACTAATCAGCTGTGGAAACTTGAAAGTTCATAACTTCATCTATCCGAGACCGGCGAACCTTTCTATCTTGATCTTCCATACATCTTGCACCATTATACATACCCTAATTTATTAGAATTATCTCCTACATTTCTCTGCCATCCATTTCGAAGCCTGCCTAAACGGCTTGTACTAGTCGGTTGTCGATTGAGCTCTCAACGTTCTTGCAGCAGTTCTTTCATCGCCCATTCTAGCTACATGCCCCGTTCATCTTAATTTGTGTGTTTCCATTACTCTGCTAAAATTATGTGTCATAATAAAAGATACTAAGTTTCTTTAAATCTCTCGATCGCCACATATATATTCCAACCATACATATTAAACGAACCTTATTGTATTATATCAGCTTGATTTGTCTGTGTCCTGCTGATCCGGCATATGTGGAAATCAGAAGTTCTGATCAATAAAACTAGGTCGATACATTCTGTTATGATGAAAGTAACGAGGTATTTTATGCTTTTGAACCAGGACCTATTGTACCATATTTTCACCGCAGATACTTTGTCCATTATACGACACCGGATTTCCCGGACACAAGGTTATACTAGCGAAAAGCTATCATTGTAGGTTGATCGACTTATAATAGCTTGAGGTATGATGTGTTTCTATACGGCGTATGACGCCTGTGTCCGGCTCATCCGGTATGAGTAAAGCTACATTGGGGACGGAAAATTTTTTTAAGAAACTGACTACTTCATTGGACCGTACGGGTATAGGTCAACCAATCTTTTTTCACAAATTTTTTTTCAAGTACAAGCGTTTGATCTCAGCTTTCTTTTGGTTGCCTCCAAATTGCAGCAGATGTATTTCCCCGAAAGTTATTTTAGTTCAAAGAGAGCCTTCATTTTTCAATGTATGGTATAAAAAGCCTCATAAGTACTAAACAAAAGCCCATTGGATAAAACGGCGAAACACGGGTATTCTTATTTTGTATAAGGAAGAATTTCCCACAGTTTCATCTAAATCGATTTCACGCACGTCTGGTCCTCTTCTTATTAGTTTCGATCACAAGAATGTATTCTGATATGTCTATTACAATGACAAGCACTCTAAGTCATTTATTGTATATATTCAACTCTTATAAATTATAATTGCTAATTGAGTTTTATTTAAATAAGACCGAATTATTCGGACAACAGCTCATACTATCAGAACGATATTTGCAAAAGTAATGAGTAAATCATTTTCACAATTTTTAAACCATTTTGATAGTTCGAGTCTTAACAAAAAAGGGTATAAGTATGTAGTCCTTGGGTTCGATTCCCGGTATAGGCATTTCTGAATTTTTCAATAGAAAATAAGTTAGTGCGCTTAAGCCAAGATTATAGTCTTTACAGTGGTTCGGATTCATTTCTCTCAAGCAACATAAATTACTAATCATTGAACTGTAGGGTGTACATACTCTAGTAAGTGAGGAAGTCGATCTCGGTTACGCCATACGACAAGGCATGAGCTACTTTTTCAACTAAATCTTACGATAGTTTACCAAAAATTAACAAAAAGCACCAAAGGAGTCATGCTCATCACTCACGAGTATAGTGGGTGACGGCTATAGGGGGAGAGCAAAGCTAGCCGAAGTCGAAAGCGGCTCGGAAGCCCAAAATCGCTCGCACCGGCCGACTCGTGTTGCGGTGTTGCCGCTTCGCTCCGCTCATTTGAGAGCGGATTCAGGGTTCCGAGCCGCTTTCAACTCCGGCTAGCTTTTCTCACTCACTATAGTCGTCGCGAGTTCGAGACCACTTAGAAATTTTT